TCTGTATGTAGTCAGTGGTAAACATTCTGACCCCAATTCTCCAGTCACTCCAATGACATCAACAGTCATTCCAGAATTATACCAGTATAATTGAGATCAGAATCTGCCTCCATAGTCACTAATGATTGAGGCAGCTTCTCTCAGTTGTTCCACAAAGAATATACTGAATTTCTGAATGTGTCCCAGATACGCCAATACCAGGCCAAAACAGGTGTGAATTTTTCCTTTTAGAGGAGGTGCTCATGAAAAGATCCACATGCCCTAGGGTAGTTTGAGGACCTGGGAAAGAAAAGACCCATGGAGTGGAGTGTTAGGGAAGAAAATTCCATGATTGTAGTTTGTGTGGATGCAATGGCCACAAAACCCCTGTACAGGGTCCAGAGGAGGACACCAGCTTCTAATCTAGTCTGCAGACTGAAGTAGCAGACACAAAAGGACCACAGTACTACCACACCCTGGTAGTAACTTCAAGGTAATGACTTCTATCATCCTCTCCTGTGTGAAGAAAAACTACATAAAACTCATTTGGCTTGTCCGATTTATGGTGATTGTTCTACTATTGCTGTAAATGAATAACAGGCGTACAGAAAGAAACATTTACACTTTTATTCCAGACATACATTTTTCAGATTATTCAATGACATAAGTGTATGCATCCTAGCTAACTTTTCAGATATCATCAATAGCTACAATTTTAGCGCGAGGCTCAAATAGGCTCAAACACATACATTTTTTCTTGGTAAAGTGTTATACATCTAACACTAGAATCAAACCACAAGTGTATCTGCAGATGTTTCTATTCAGCTTCAGAAAAATCCCTTTTCATCTGCTCCCCTATTTTTTTAATGATTTTTCTATAAAATAAATGCTCCATAGGAAAACAACTGCCATTTTGACAGATTAGATTTTTTTTTATCATAACAGTTATTTCCTCTTCCCCCCTGGATCTACTCAAGATTCACAGCCATTCTTCTGAGGCAGGTTACAAACACGTTTGGACTTGAAAACAAAGCTGGTATGTCTAGGCAGCTATGATTAAAAGATTACCCAGGACAATTATGTTTCATAATAAGAGCATCAAGGTATCTTCGTACTTGATAGCATTGACTTAGAATTGCTGAGATTATTTTTCCAAAGTACAAATGGTTGAAAGAAAGAAGCTGAAACTGCAAATGAGCTGAGTATTTTTTAAAAAGCCTTTTAACTAATATAGTTAAAATCTAGACTTTGCATATTTTCCTCTTAGAAATCTGAACTATTACTACTAGTTGGAGGCATGATTCTGCAAAGTACTGAGCTAGATGTTCATCACCTCACCTTTCTATCCCTGTGACTGCCTGGACCTTGTGAAAAGCATAAGAAACTACATGAAAAGCACTCCTAAAAAGTCTTAAGTCAAAGAAAGAAATCTTTACTTCATTACTTAGATGACAAGAGTATGCATATTTACCATTATCTTAGTACTACAGAACACTGTAAAAAGCCATTTTAGTTTGTTAATAACGTGTCTACAAGTAATTTAACGAATCCTTATTTGCTAATATTTGTATTAGCCACAGAATTAGAAGAGGGTAAAAAAATCATATAAAAAAACCTGTAAATTTGTGATTGGCACAGGTTTAGTGAAAAGTTCAAAACATATGGAATGTTGAATGCAATGTTATCTTTTTGAAACATCAGTATTACATTTATGACAAATGTCTGAACCAAACAGCAAACTGCTACAACATTTCAGTTTTTAAAAGCATATTAGTAATACTATTAAGAATGCAGTGTCCAACTGTTAAACAGTAGATTGAAACTGATATAAAAGTGCACTCATGATTTAAGTATTAATCATATTTCAATTGAAAACAAATGTTAATGTCCTCTAGTTAAAAAGAGCTTTAGGCGTCACATGACCTTAAATCTTTAATCTTGCCTGACTGATAACTTGCAGTGTAAGGTGAAATAAAAATGTAAATCTGGAACAAAATCAAAATAAGGTTTGAAGAAACAAGTAACAACCTGATTCCACCTCTACTTTTCCAATCTTAAACTCTATATAAGTATTAAACGTCATTTTTAATAAAAAGATTTTGCAAACTATTATTTTAGCTAATTATAAACATTTGGATAGTTATCAGTCTCAATTTATCACTTCTGTAATTCTGCAATTTATGTAGGGATGTAAAAAACAGCCTTCCACCACACTTCCAGAAACTTATTTCAGTGTGCGCCCACACGGACCTCATCAAGCAGCCAATGAGTTGCCCTTTCATTATGACTAAGTGACTAATACCTATATTGGCTCTAAAGAAAGACACTTTTCATGATCACACAACAATCTGCTAAATGAAAACATATGAATAAGCTTAAGCGAAGCCTGCCAGGGGTCTTTACTGAATGGAAAACAGGTGCGCTATTTTTGTGCCATGTAATACCCATTTACCCCCAAGTCCAAAGGTTACAGGACTAATAGCTGCCTTGTGGTAATCAGGGAAAGCAAAGACACTGGCCATGGTTAAACATCTGGGACATATTTTACATACTTGCAACACATGCTTCAGGTTCAATTAAAGTGAGGCTTTGGCACATTTATTAATCTTTTTACTTTTATCCTGTAAGAGGACCCATTGGCCTGATTTTACTATTATACCATATGAGAAAACAGAAGTAATGACAGCTGGGGGTCAGTACCTGCCAGTACTGCAATATGTGCATGTTTTCTCAGAATTTCTTTATGCACAAAACTTTAAAATGATCAATCTATGAATTAAAAAAGGAGCATAACACTGTGCTCTTTGAATTCAGACATGTCAATATTAAAATCTTTCCCATCTTCATCAACAAACAGTACATGATACAGCCAAAAGGAGGAAACTGGCAAAAATACTTTTTTAAATCTGTTTTATAGTTTAGTGTCTGAAATAAAATGCCCATTCTAAGATTAACTTATTCACTGTAAGGTACAAGCATTTTCATCACAAAAATTATGCATACCATTTTCTTTTCCATTCAAGCTGTGATATTCATGATAGTATATTGAATTACAAGAGCTCAAATAAAACTTACATATTAATGAAATATGACTTTGAATGTATAGAAATCAACTCACATGTCTTTCATATAAGAAACACACTCATTTTAGGTATTCAATAAAGATTACCACTGAATTCACACAGTTACAACATAAGCCCTCACCTTCAGTCACTGTTGGTAACTATATCTGTAAGTGTGTTAGAACACTGGTGTCAGTTTCAGACAGATAAAAACTAGATTTCAATTGATACAGCTCCAGAGATTTAGTGTTATTTCTAACCTAGTATGTTTGGCATGTAGTTTAGACAGACAGTAAAGGGCTTTTTAAATAAGCAATAAATAGCCATTTTTAATAACTCAAAAAAGCCTGACAACTAAATAGTAAGTAAGCAGTACTTTCATTACAAGTACTGTACATTGCTAATTGATCAGCTATTCACACTTCCAGGAGTATGTACACTGTACTACTAGGATGAAGCTCGTATAGTTTCTTTAATAAAGCAGCAACAAGCAAGGGGAAATGGCTATAAATGGATGGCAGATCAGTGTTTATCAGAAGAGAAATGATGATTCAGAGCTAGCATGTTGAGTTAAAATACAAGCTTTCTACACTTACATGATTGACCTTTGCAATAAATCATGCATTTTATTGCCAGAAGTATATTCTCATATCATTTAGCACTAAAAACTAGCATGTGTTTTGTAAAAAGAGATTGTTACTGTGTTTGACTATTCTAAATGATGTAGCCAACAATGTAAATGATGTACAGAAGATTTTCACATAATATCTTTCTATCGCTTCTCAAATGTTTGAGCTAGCAATAGAATGAGGATATACCCATTTTTTATCCTCTCTCAAATCTTGGGGTAGCTAACAGAAAAATAATCATTCAGGGGATTAACTAATCACATTGAATTTTCTGACATTTCAAATACTTGCTGCCAGCACAGGAGTTCTTACAGTGGTATATAACGGTACATCTCAACTAGAAACAAAGGTCAAGGGCATAAATTAAGACACACTGTTTTTCTCCTCTCTCTCAAAAAAAGAACTAATTGCTTTACCACAACAGAAATAGGAGAACATTTATGAAGGTCAAAATTGTCTAATTCAAAGCTGTTGTAAAATAATCTGTATTTATTCTCTTTTACATATTTTTGGTATGAAAATTACACAGACAACAAGGCTGTTTTACTGCACTCGTCTCTCCATCAAAGCTATCCTGCCAACACTAGCCAATGCTTCAGTGGTGCAAGGTCATTCTAATTTCCTCCCTCTGGTTTTTCCCTCTCCCCAGGGGACAACCAATCCAAACAGTCCCATAGCTTGGCTCAATAAGATGTGGAAACAATCTGTTATTTACTGTGGTTGCAATCCTCAACCCAACCAGCAGCCCATGTATTGAACCACATTCTCAAAAGCTGAAAGATCCGCAACAGTCTCCTAGCTTGCTGGACCGCAATACCAGCTCCAAATCAAATGGATGTCTATGAGACTTATGATTATTTAAATGTCATATAGAAGAGTGCAGAACATATTAGCCATTCCTCTACCAAGTATTTCACTGAAAATTACAGATGGTCCTATCCCATTTTCAACCAGTGTGGAGTTATTTTTATACCATTTCCCCCACTAAAGTGCAGTGCTATTTGTAATAGCAAAGACAGGACAAATGTTTGTCCTTCAAAAACAGTTGTCACTGCAGTTATCTTCACAAGAGCTATCAAGTTCCAGACAAGCTGAATTATTTTTGTTCCTGGCAGAAAAATATTTGACCCAGCTCTGGACAAAAAAAGAAGAGGATTTATAGTCCTCTATCCCTTTCTACAGCATACAGTAGCATTGTTAGGATGATAAACAGCTCTGTCCAATTTCCTGGACTAAAACACTTCAACTCTTTTTTTAACTGTCTGTAAAAACAGTGTCATGTCTAAATTCTCCCATCCCCAGGTACCCAAGTGCTAGGAAAGATAATTACCTTGTCATCTCTGTCATCCTCTTCTTCCTCGTCCTCTAGCATGTCCTCCACTACCTACAGACAAACAGCAGTAGTTGTCAGTATTTAAAAAGGAAGAATTTCATTCTGTCAATAGCAAACCTTTTGTAGATGAAAACTTTATTAACATTTGCAATAAATGAACAGAAGGAAAATGTACAACTACAAAAACATTTGATCTTGTGATTCAAATTTAAGAAGTGACATAACTTTAATTGACCTACATTAGGGAATAAGACACTTGAAAACCTCTACCTGTATAAAATGCTATCTTGACAATTTAAGTATTTAAAAGGTAATTCAAAATTCACTCTAGGATATTTTTAACTAAGGAATCCTTTTTATCAGCTTTATTGGTAGCTATACAGTACAGTACAAGTGCTTATTTTGGATTTACAGCTAACATGAGAAACTTACATTTTGAACTTAATTTACATTGTTCATCTGGAGAGAGAGTATGTTTTCAATCCCAAGAAAAAAATTCATACTAGCTTGCTTCTTTATAGCAGTGGCCCAGGTTGCATGCTGTATTATCATCAACACAGTATTTCCTAAAAGTGATTTTGTACTATTCATATACATAATATACTGCACATGCATCTTTCCTTAGTTATGTGAGAAGAGAAAGAAAGAAAGAAAGAAAGAAAGAAAGAAAGAAAGAAAGAAAGAAAGAAAGAATACCTATCACATATGATATTGTGTTCAAGGCACTTTACTCACATTAATTATTGATCATCATATGGTTGTGAGATAAATAATTATTATAACCATTTTACACTCTAAGGGTACGTCTAAACTACATGCCTCCGTCGACGGAGGCACGTAGATTAGCCAGATCGGCAGAGGGAAATGAAGGCGCGATTAAAATAATTGCGGCGTCATTTAAATTTAAATGGCTGCCCCGCTCTGCCGATCAGCTGTTTGTCGGCAGATCGGGGCAGTCTGGACGCGCTGCGCCGACAAAGAAGCCTTTCTTGATCGGCACAGGTAAACCGGAGGCATACCTGTGCCGATCAAGAAAGGCTTCTTTGTCGGCACGGCGCGTCCAGACTGCCCCGATCTGCCGACAAACAGCTGATCGGCAGAGCGGGGCAGCCATTTAAATTTAAATGACGCCGCAATTATTTTAATCGCAGCTTCATTTCCCTCTGCCGATCTGGCTAATCTACATGCCTCCGTCGACGGAGGCATGTAGTTTAGACACACCCTAAGAGAAGAAGTGCCTTTCCCAAAGGCACATAGAGAGTTAATGGCAGAACCATATTAGAACTCAGAAATTCCTGCTTAATAGACCCATGATCAAACTTCTAAACTATAGGCCAAATTCTCTGCTGGTATAAATGGGGGTAGAGTTGTACCCCTTTTACATCTAGACTGCACTCTAAAATCGAAATAAATATGCAATTTGCACATCTTATTTCAATTTTATTTCAAAATAAAGCACTATTTTGAGATATCCCTTATTCCTCGTGGAACAAGGTTTAAAGGGATGCCGAAATAGCACGTCTGTTATTTCAAAAATTATTTCAAAATAGTGGATATGTTCCTTGGACGTCTTGCAGTCTGGACGTACCCTTACACCAAAAGGAATTTTATCTCTATATTTGTACATACACAAAAGTCAAGACGGAGCTGTAAATACAAAAAGTGAAAATTCTGATGCATTTTACATTGAGTTATTATAAACTAAAACTATAATGTACAACAGCATTAGAGTTGAGGACGTTACAAACCATAATTCTATATTATAAAGTATAATGACAAAAGAGGATATCACATTTGAAACTTACTCAAGGAACATATTCTTTGCTCTGTAGGAGGTCATATAGACATTCTCATCAACTATAGATAATCACTCACCAGAGTTTCAGGTGCTATAGTGAATCAAGATTGCTATTTTGACCTGCAGTCCTGGAAGGGTGCAAAGCAACCTCTAACTCAGACTCAAAGCTAACCTTTAATTTGTACGTCAATTATGTAAAGCATATTACAACCAATTAGTAAGGTAAACTGTTGACTATGATATGAAATTTACAAGGGGAGTCTATTTTCTGTCAATTTACCACAGAATTAATAAATTAAAGACAAATAAGGAAGTTCCTGCCCTAAGAATTTAATAATTGTGATCATATCTTGCATATGTACAGAAGGTGAGAAAAAAAGTACAAGAAGCCTTCTTCCATTTCAGATCCCAATACAGGGGCAGGACAACAATACAATTTTACACATATGCACGCTGTACTGATCAGGCTGGCCAGGAAAGACAACATTAACTGCTACACCTCAGGAGAAGGTGCAGTCTCAGAGCTTCCCTTTTATATCAAGGATCTGTGATAATGAAACCCATCCCCTCAGTTGCTGCCTTAAAGACACAAGAACATTCTAAATTTGTCATGTACCATTTAAAATAATAGGTATAGAGTATTTCTTTTATAATCTTTAGTCCAAAGAGTCAACAATAATGGACTGGATAAGATATTTATGGCTTAGTGTGAACAGTGATCCCGCATTAGTGCAGGGGGATTTGCTAAACAATCTACAAAGTTCTGTCTTGTAATTTTCTACAAAATAAATACTAATGTACTTGAAAACTGTCCCATATCCAGAGAGCTAAAAGTACACTAGCTAGAGTTCTGAGACATGCTCTATTAAGTCCTTGACCAGTACTAAAACAAACACTGCCAATCCAAGGGATAAGTGATTAATCCAGTGACTGATCTCTCATGAACCACTAGGTAGAAATGAGTATGCCATAACACTGAGCGACTGAGATCCACAGCCTCCCTGTGGTATGTGGTATTCATTTTAAAATATTAGATCACAAGAAAATTGAACACTTATGCGTATCATTCTGGCCTGATCTGAGTGACCACTATCTTGAGAAGCTCTGGACCTAGAAACAATGTTTTATGCCATTAGAAGCACCAGCTTTCAGATTATATAAAATGTTAAAACTAAGTCTAGTGGTTTGAGAGATTACTAAAACAAACAAAAATATAGTGTTTTCTAGACCTAGATCTCAATTAAAGGAAGGTAAATATCAATATCCTCATTTTAAAGATAGGGAAATGGAGACATTAAGCGATAAAACAACTTGCCCTAAATCAGACCAAAGGCTGTTGGAAGAGTTGGAAACAGAATCCAGGAATCTCCAGTATCAGGTCAGATATGAAAATGGGCACTGAGGGATTGCAGAAGCCCTACATTACGTGTATGGCAATTGCATTTAAATGTAAAATTGTGATACAAACTGATGAGAGAGACAAAAACAAAAAAAGCTGCTAAGGACAAAAGTGTCAGCTTCAACTCTGAATGGTTAGCTACTTACTGGTTCTTACTATAAAACTTATAAACATTTAATCTATGGAGAGATTTTTGTGATTAATCCCCTAAAATAACCAAATCCATCCTCTGAAACATATGTTTATTATCTAAGTTAATTGTTTAAATAAATGTTTAAAAATATTTATATAAGCCTTATTATCCCTTAGCACTTGCAAGACCAGAATAGTTTCTTTAGCGATAAGTGTAAACATTTATTCAGAGTCACCATTAAGGATGACATTCATCCCACCCTGAACAAAGTTCAAACAGAGTCGGTCTTAGTGTAAAAATATTTCAGGAGCTGGGAGTGGAATTTACCCTTCCCAACAAATGGCCTCCAGAGCTATAACAGTTCATCTAGGGCTTCTAATTTATTTCAGGGTTATTGCCCTGAAACACTATATGCTGCACCTCTCAGAAGTTCAGCACAGAAATTGCTACCCAGTGGGAAATGGGGGTGGGCAGAGGAGAGATGTGGGCAATGTAGCTTTCAGCCACCATTGTGTTCTCACTCTCCTAGGCTATGTTGGGGCTGGAGAAGCTCCCATTGTAACTGACAGAACTTTTAGTTACAACAGCCTCTGTAGAGTTGCCCTACTATGGGCTACAGTCTTGCATATTGTGGCCTTCCTCCTGGCACATTCCAGGGCTTGAGAGCAGGTATGCAAGAGAGAGTCTTTCTTCAGTTCCTGCACTGAAACGATCCTCCCCCAGCCAGTTATGGTGCTTTTAGGGCCCCTTTGCACCACTACTGCTCTTTGATATAGCACAAAGGCAGCTGAGCTGAAGGTGAGAAGCTCACTTTTCCTTTTTCAGTCATTGGCCTCATGTAAGTTTTTCTTCTATGACTCTCAATGGGGATGCTGACTACAGCGACCCCAAACAAGCAGTATGGAGAACAGGTATGGAGAACAGTCCCTCAGAAATGATGTGTGACCACTTCATTTGCATCCCTCTGTTCTCCTACAAACCCACCATAGGACTTAATGTCGTTCTTGCATGGGACCTCTGCACCTGGGGGGATTTCACCCCTAAGGGTGAAGTTCTGAAAAACAGAGTAAAGTCTAAAAAAAAAATTAGCTAAGCCATGCCCTCATCACACCGGCTTTCTCTCAGAGTGCATCTACACAGCACCCTAAACTCAAAATAAGATATGCAAATTGCACTATGCAAATTGCAGATCTTATCTCAAATATATTTCAAAATAGCTCATTTTGAAATTTGACATCTATACAGTGCCAAATTTCAAAATAACATGCTGTTTTGAGCCATCCCTTAACCCCCATGCAACAAGGTTTACCGGCATGGCAAAATAGCATGCCTGTTGTTTTGAAATATTTTTCAAAGTAACAGGTGGCTTGTGTAGACACCTCCAGTGTCCCAAAATATGCATGCACTGTAGACAAACCCTTAAGGTCTGGCTACATGCAAAATTCCGCCAGTGTAACCAATATATGAAATACATTCAGTTTAATTAAACAAAATACTCAAGGATATGTGGCAACATTTAATTGAACTGTAAATCTCTATAAATCAGGGTTTACAATGGAAATGCAGACAACAGCTTAGCTGTCACATTGCAAATGCTGACAGTTTAGAGAATAAACACTTATTCTAGAAACTCAAAAAACAAATGGTCTGGTAGCACTTTATAGACTAACAATACATGTAGATGGTTAGTCTATAAAGTGCAGCCAGACTATTTGCTATTT